CACTATCCTCTCTCTTCCCCACTTTCTTTGCAATACATTTTTAAAGAGTCAAATGGAACTTCTAGAGCTGACAAGACAATAAAACATAAAACAACAGTAAAAAAGTTAAATCTTCAAATGAAAATTAAGTAACACTGACTTAGAAGTAACAGCCCCAAACTATAAAACACACAGAAGAAGACCTGGGAAATCTTGGCAATCTTGAAACAGGCAAAGACTTCTTAGAATATGAAAAAACACTGATCACAAAATTTAAGTGATAAACTGACCATATCAATAAAAATAAAAAAGACATAGATGGTATAAAAACATTCTAACTCTGTTTAGTCAGTAAAGGATTTATACTAAGCATATATTAAGATCTCCTACAAATTCTTGATAAAGATTATCATCTTTTCCATTGTGACTGAATTAACACATGCTGGGCATTAGTGAAGCTCAGCTTTGGCCTTGCCTCTAAAGGATTTCCACAGAAGGTCAACAGGAGGAGGAAAACCCACCCCTATTGGTGAAATTATTAAGGCTACTCCACGCAGTTAAAAGGAAAGTTTATTAGCGGTGCAACTTACAAATGAAGGGATAGGTAGGTCGCAGGATCTGAGGAAGGTGTATCACAATCCAGCGGTATTCTCTGGAGCTCTGCTCGGTCAACCTCCACCGTCCAGGGTCCTGGAACAGAACAAGAACTGGCCCATCTAGATCTGGGGTCTCCAGGGGTCCTCCCTTGGTCCCGCCTTGTAGGCGTGACAGTTGCCGAAGCCTCAATGGGGGTTGGAACTTCCAGATCAAAGCTGGAATGGCTACCCACTACATCTCCCCCTTTTTGTCTAAATAAGAAGGTCCTAACCTAATACAAGACTTTATAGAAAGGAATGGTTATCAAATATTGTCCAGGAATAATGAGGGATAATGACCTAGATAAGATGGAAGTACAACCAATGTGTACTCACTGGGCATGCTGCCTGTGCGATGATATGAGGTCCTTTCTGCCTCTTAGCAGGCAGGGCCCTGAGAAGCTTGTGGAAAACTGGTGGGCTCCTCTGAGTGGAGCATAGGGTGAGTTGGGGGTGCAGCAGGGCAGAACTTAGGGTCGCCCTGAGGGCTGGTCAAGGTCAGAGCCTGGGATGACGGGTAGCTTCTTAGAGTGACTCCCGAATCCCTCTCAGACTGGAGGCCTGGGCTCTCTCTGAAGTCTTCTGTGTGTGCTCAGAAGGTCCCTGTTTTCTGCAGTTATATCACTGCCATGATTCATCTTTGCTAGGGTGTAGTGGTATTGTGATATCGCTCTGTATAAATAAACACTGATTGGCCAGTAGCCAGATAGGAAGTATAGACAGGACTAACAGAGAGGAGAACTGAGGGAACAGGAAGGCAGGGAGGGAGACTGCCTGGAGCCACTGCCAGGACTAGCAAGATGTAAGGTACCAGTAAGCCACAAGCCACGTGGCTAAGTATAGATTAATAGAAATGGACTAAATATAAGAGTAAGAGCTAGACAATGATAGGCCTGAGCTAATGGCCAACCAGTTTAAATAATGTAAGCATCTGTATGTTTATTTTATAAGTGGGCTCCAGGACTGGTGGGACTTGGTAGGACCTGGAGAGAAAAGCTCTCCAGTTACACACCCCTGAACGTGAGCAGTGCCACCCATGGACTGAAGTCCTGACCTGAAGAGAAGAAGAGGAAACCATGTGGGTATCAGCCTTCCTCTCTCTCTACTCCCGGGTCTGCTGAGATGTGAGCAAGCAGCCTCACATTCCACTTGCCACAGCCACAGGGCATCTCAACACTGTGCCTTTCCCTCCACAGTGGGTTGTACCTCCAAAGTGTGAGCCAAAATAAACCCTTGAGTTGCTTCTTGCTGGGTGTTTCAACAACAATAAAAAGTAATACAGGGATAGAATGGACACTTTACCAATGGCCAATAAGCCTGTGCAAGGTAGACAACACAATGTATAATTAGGGAAAAGCAAATCAAAATCACAATAAGATCCCATGTATTAAATGGCCAACATGCTCAACACCACAAGTCCAAAATGATGGTGAGGATGTGAAGCAACCAGAATTCGTAGATTGTCAGCATATGTACACTTCATCCACAAAGTGAAATACTTTATAATTACTAACTAGGAAGTCAACCTATGCTACTTATGACCTGTTGTTAACCTCTTCCTGTGTTTTTAGATGCTCTGTGATGGACCATGAGAACAACAACCTGTGAGAAGATGTCATTTCTCATTGTTGTGACAAAATACCCAACAAAGGCAACATAAGAAAGGAAAGTTTTGATCTGGGCTCACAGATCAGGTGCAGACTGTCATGTGAGACATCAGCTTCTCCAGCCTCCAGTCAGGAAGCCAACATTGGACCCCAGCCCATGAGATGATGCCACCCACATTCAAGGAGAGTCCTCCTGTACTTCCACGGTGATTCTAAACCCTGTTCATTTAACAAGATTAACCATCACAGTGGAGACTCCAGAGGTTGAGGCCCCGAGGAGGACTCTCCAACCAGATGTTCAGGAGACTCCAGAGGTTGAGACCCTGAGGACTCTCCATCCAGATGTTCATTCAGCTCTTTACCTAGGTGTCCCTGGTGATGAGACATGCTGCCACAGTCTTCACTGAGTCATCTCCAATCAAGTAAATTCTTTCTGTAATTCACACTTATTCCAGTGCCGGTTCCCCTAGAGAAAGAATACTTTCCACACTGACTCAGTACCAGCCCTGAGAAGCAATGTGTCTGTATTTTGTCAAATATTATAATTTACTGTTAAAATAAAATCCCACTCTTCTCATTAAACCCTAAAGGTTTTTGAGTGCTTGTTTTCCACTTCCCAGTCCAAAATCCAAGGAAAGTTCTGGCCTCTATTCTGAGAGAGAGAGCAAGCCCATCACCCCATACCCATCACCCCACCGCCACCAACAACACCTCCAACACACCAAGAATAACCGGGGGGGGGGGGGCTACTCCAGTGATCCAGGCTCCAGACAAAGGGGAGTGATGTCCTTTCACAGCCACACAGTTCTAGAGGGAGGGCGTGGGATAGTCATCCAGGTTTCCCCGGGGGTTGATCTGGCTTTAGTGCCCAAAGCCCTTCATCCCAGGAGATCCTCAGCCCTGAGCAAACCCGGATGATTGCCCACCTGGCAGAAAATCAAGAGCTGCTGCCTGGAGGCCTGTGTCACCGTCAACCCCCAACTCTCAAGCTGCCTCTGGAGACCTTGGATGTAACAGTTAATACCCTGTCTGCTCCAGCCATTTCTCCCGGATTGAGTATCAGCCTCCCCACCCAGACACATAAGACATATACAGACACACATAGATTCTCCTGGATTGTATTATCTTTGCTATCAGCCACACCCACACACCCACACACAGACATACAGAAATACACACATACAGACATACATAGACACATAGAGACAAACACAGACATACACACATATACAGAAAAGCAGGCATACAGACATGCACACTTATACAAGAACATACACAGACACACAGATATACAGAAACACACACACACACACACACACACACACACACACAGAGCCAGCTGCCCACAGCCCATATCTTTTTAGATTTCCACCACACTGTGGTGTTTTGAATGACAATGCTCCCCATAGTCTCTGTTATTTGAATACATGGCCCCTGTAGATGGGACTGTTTGGGGAGGCTCAGGAGGGCGTGGCCTTGCAGGGGCAGGCTTTGAGATTTCACAGCAATGAACCTGTCCCCTTTGCTCTCTGCTTCCTGCTTAACCTTCCTGGTTTAAACCTTCCTGGTTTAACCGTGAGCTCTAAGCTGTCCTAGCTGCCACGTCTGCCTGCTGCCAAGCTTCCTCATGGTGGTGACGGACCCCTATCCCTCTGGAACCGTGATCCCGAAGAAACCCTTCCTTTGAGTAAGACGCCTCGATCATGCCTCTTTGTCACAGCAATATAAACTTAACTAAGACACATATTCTCCGCTGGGCTTGACGGTGCACACCTGTAATCTTAGTGCATAGATCTCTCAGACAAAACAAAAAAACAAAACACAAAAACCAACTTCGGACACACCATGTATCTTGGCTTTTCTTGTTTTTTTCTGTCCAGTGATGTCAGGACACTTCCCATATGGGTCCACAGTTTAAAAGTCTTTGAAACACTTGAGCTATCTGGGAATTTCCTGAAGTTAATTTTGTTGTTTCATTTCCATTGAGGCAGGCTCTCACTCTTAGCCCAGGCTGGCCTGGAATTCCCTATACAAGGTTTTGTAATGGCGAAGCTGACCCAGTACCTGGAGTTATTACTCTATACAGCAAAGGGGACTTGGAGCTGGAGAGATCACCTTGCACTCCAGTCCCTAAACCCCACTTTGTCATCATCCAGGCCCTCATAAAATGGAGACAAGAAGCCAAAGGAGGGAAGGTGGAGATTGCAGTCCTCCTGGAAGATGGAGGAAGGGTTCCCGAGCCAAGGACTGCCGGCATCTGGGAGAAAACAAAACAGGCAAACCAGAGTTACCCTCGGGCACCCCGGAGGCACCGTGAGGCTCGCTGGTGAAGTTACTTAACCCCCTGAACTGTGACAACAAACACTTGTGCCACCGGAAGCTTCCAAGAGTTGAGGGCAGCGTGGGGAAGGGTAGAAAAGCAAGAGCTAGAGGAACCAAGTGGGTTAGGCCGTGGGGAAATCCAGACTGCCTCCTGCTGGGAAACAGCCTCCAAATCCCCCAGCCTGGAACCCTAAAATCCCCTGGGCCAGACACCCTCTCCTCCACCCCACCTTCCCACCCCCGCCCCAGACCCACCCTCCCAGTCCCATGGAGACATCCAGCATCTGCCCCAGTGTGCCCACTCTCAGCCTGTATCACTTGGGAATCTGCTGGGTTAATATCCTGTAAGGCAAAAAGGACGTAGCACCCGCCACGGCAGCTGCAGTGCATGCTGGGAACAGGGCCAGGCCAGCGGTCAGAACAAAGAGGGCTGCTGGGCACCCATGGAGAGTGGGCTCCCGGGAAGACGCACAGACAGCAACTTCCAGATCGGAGTAGGAGTTGCTGAAGGCTCCTGAGGGGCGATGCTCTGAGGGCAACAGGCCACCGAGGCATTTACGTCACAGGATGTATGTGTGTGGGCGCGGGTAAGAACTGGGCACTGGATCTTGGGTCACAGGTGTCCCAAGCAGGTGTCCCTCAAAGGATGCTGAAACAAGCCTAGGTAGACTTGAAACGTTTCTTGCTGGCTCATTTCATTCCAGCCCGAAGGACAGGGTGTGGTGTGGGGGAGGGGGAGGGGAGGTCCATTTGGTCTTGTTTACTGAAATGGCTTCTCCTGACTGAGGGGGAAAAAAAAAAGTCCCGGAGTAAAGGGGGGCGGGGGGAGGGGGCCGAGGGGCTGTCCTTGGCTTCCTTCAGCTTGTTTGATGACAACAGTCAAAACCGTCCTTCAGACTTAGTCCCCAAAGGCATCCGAGGTTGACAATGACGAATAGAGAGCAGCTGTCCCTTGGCCATCAGAATCACAGCTCCTTCCTCCCCGTGTGTGGGCTGTGGGACACAGACGGTGTGTTCCTGACAGCTCCGAGGCCAGACAGGCCAGACTCTGGTCACCAAAGTTTGGGTTCAGCCACTCCGCGATAAGCGATGAAGGCCCAGGCTTTCCCTGACGCAGTTGAGCAACTTGAGGCTTGTAACTGCCTTGGGAATTTGGGTGTGCCTCAAATGAGGAACCGAGATAGGTTCTCACTTCCCAGTGGGGGGCACAGCTCTACTCACAGTGTCCTTGTTCCCAGGCCGGGGAAGCAGGCCAACGGAGGGAGCTTCCTTCGGGAGCCAGGAGCGCCTTTGCAAGGGTTGGACTCCAGTTGTCTCTTCTGCCTGGCTTGTCCTTCTCATTTTCAGGGCATGGAGAGACGACAAGGGTAGTGTCCACCTCTAGTCAAGTCGCCACCACCCTCCTCCTCCGCTGGCCTCTGCACAGGGCAACCCCTGGCTCTCACCGACCGCATCTGCCTTTGAATGTCCAGGGACCTTGGAGAGCTAAGGGTCTGAGGGGGACCAATGACTTGAGGATGTCATTCTCAGGGCAGCTGGTACTGGAGGCACAGGCATATCCCATAGAAAGCCTGGGCCTTGCCACTGTTTCCTCCACACTCAGAGCACCTACCATGTCCACCAAGTAGCAGGACCCACCAAGACCTGGTGTGCACTGTGTCCAAGATATCAGTGGTTAGGAGGGACAACTCAGGCATTCACCCGCCAGCTTCTAATCCTAGCACCAGGACTTTCCTCCATGGATTGTGGCCTTGCTTAAATTCAGTGCCTCAGTTTCCCCCATCCCTAAGTAGTGAGGAGTTTGCAACTTGTTGTAATGCTGTGTATGCGTGTTGAATCACACGGGAGAGCCAAGGGCCGCACCTGGCATGAGGGATATGAATGAAGTTGGGCATGGTCCTCAGGCATCAGAATCTGAACCAGAGGGCGAGGTTGCTTACCACCAAGCGAGTCAAGGCCCCTTTTAAATAGCTTGCCAAGCTCCCCTGTGCTCTGGCATTGGTGCCCAGGCATGGGCCGATGGCAAAAGCCTTTCCTGGTACCTCAGCTTGGAGGCCCCTTCCTTGGGGGCTAGCCTTACCCAGGTCCATCTTCTCTACTCCCCTATATCCCCCTGGGGCAAGGGTCAGTCTTGTCCCCCATATACCAAAGGGGAAACTGAGGCTCAGAGAGGTTGGATGAGTTGTCTTGGGTGGTTAAGTGAGTCAGAGTTGCACTGTGAACTGTCCCTTGCCTGCCTGTTACCTAGTCCTAGCAGGCTGGATGTCTTTGGCTGCATGGGCCAGGTAAAGGCAGGGCCAGGAAGCAGGCTAGGTACATAAGGCACTGGGACCAGGCTCTCACATCACCGTGTTCTGTAGACTGCTAGGCCTGGGTTACCTGCAGGGTAAGTGACAGCACTGTCCCCACACTTCTCCCTGACTGCAAGGACCCTCCCCCGCCCCAATTTCACTTCTGGTAGTAGGGTTGAGCAGACCCTATGTCTAAAATGCTAGGGTACTAGTATTACCTTTAATGATGTCTTGAGATGAAAATAATGGGGTCTTAAACTATTGCCCATTGCCCCAAATGACTAGGCTACCCCATTTTTTATAACATTTTATTAGATCACAGTGGTTCCTCTCCTGTGCATCACCTCTGGCTGTCTATGCTCCAGCGGCACAGTGGAGCAGCTGTAACAGACCAAAGGCCCTACCCAGCTGAGATCATTACCAGCTGGCCATTTTGAACAAAAATTTGCTGAAAAATTAAAATTCACTTGAAAGTTTGGTTCTATAAAGCCTTGACAGCATGGGGAATTTATATTCTAAATCTCTACCATTTGAACCAATCCAGGTTCTACTGAGTGTACATCCACAGTTGATGCAAGTGTAGACAAGGGTGCATGTGTGTGTATATGTGTGAGAATTAGCAGTAGGTAATGACTGTGAGTCTATGGATTGCTAATACTGAACTTGAAGCCAGAGCTCGAGTCAATGGGACATTTTGATTTCCCAGGGCAACCTGGAGCAGATCCAGGGGCAACTGTATGATTCAGCGCCCTCCAAAGTAGAGAGTAGAGAATATATATGGGATTTATTAGATAGCTTACAGGATGCAGTCCAGGTAATCCAGCAGTGGCTTTTTTCACACTGGGAAAGACCAAGAATCAGGTTGTTCAGTACATGAGGCTAGATGTCTCACTGTCCCAATGCAGGGTCCTGAAGAGACACTGACTTCAGTCTGTATTGAAATCCCAAAGAAGTCGGTTCTAATATTGGTGAAGAGATGTCGTAGAAAGAGGGTAGATGGCCTTGCCAGAGGAAGTGAGGCCAGGTAGACAAGAGGCAAGTTTTCTTCTTCCATGTCCTTATGTGGCCTGCCACCAGAGGTCCAGATTTGGGGTGGGTCTTACTGCCTCAAATAATCTGGTAAGAAATTCCTCACGGGAGTGCCCCGAGGCTTGGGTTTTAGCTGATTCCCAGATTCAGTCAAGTTGACAACCAAGGTTAGCTATTATAGCTCCTTCCATCATTCTGTAAGCTTCAGCTCGCTCACAGCGGGGAGCATGGAGATAATGCCACCCACCACCCAGGGCTGCTGTTGTCCGCAAATGACGTCAGATACGAAGAACTCACCATCTGGGGCCTTTCCAGAGCCCCGCAAACCATTCCCAGGAGCACCATGGCAGTTCTTGTGAGGATGCCTAGCACGTGTTAAATGCTCAGTCAGTTCACCCCCACACCAGAATCATCTTAGGCGCCCACCATCGTATTTGGAATACAGATATTATTTTAATAAGATAATCTCCTTTTTTCCCGAGGTACAAATTTGGGTCATCTTGAGACTGTGACCTTCTACCAGCTTCAAATGTGCAGCATTGGTCACTTTACCTGCAAACAGGACACTCTGGTGCTCTGTGCAGAAACCAAGGACAGTGGCCTGGGAAGCAGATGGTCCTGTCTGAATCCCACAGACTTTCAGTGACCCCTGGGCAAAAGGCAAGGTGCGCAGGACGCCTGCTGGAGCTAACATCGGGACATTTTGATTCCCCAGGGCAACCTGGAGTAGCCCTGCTTTGTGTCATCAGTGAGCTCTGCCCAGAGACAAAGGGGTTTATCTGCCACGGCCTATAGTTTTTATTGCAGTCAGTTGCCTTGTATATTTAATGGGGTGGGGGGATTTGCCAAAATGGTTACTGAGCCACAGGGGGAAAAGGGGGAGGGGGGTTGGGAAGCTGCTCTTTGACCCCGAAGTTGGCGAACTTGCCTCATTAATCAGACCTGTGCTGGAATACAATGTTGTTCATGTTCAGGGAATTAAAACTTGAAGCTAAAATTGTAGCAGGAGGTAACCTGAGTGGAGGCAGTCTGTCTCCCACCGTAGATTTATGGTGTTTACTCAACAGTGGATGGGAACTTTCAGGGAAAGAACACCTCTCCTCCCCTCTTTTTTCAAAACACATCGTCAGCCGGCCCTGGGCGATCAAGTTCCCGATTTTCAGCGTGCAGAGCGCACACTGGATTTGATCTTCCCCGTTCTGAACCCAGCTGAAGGGGAAAGTGCGTGCCTCCCACTGGAGGGAGTTGCCTGGGCGGGCTTTCCTTGTCGGAGTCAGCTCCAAGGGCAGCACTTGCGTGGCCCAGGCAGCTCCAGACCGTGCCACCTGCACGCTGTCTGATGGTGACCCAGGAACAATGGTCACCTTGCCGCGCCACAAGGTCACAGGGAATTCTTCAGAAAAGCCTCCATGGCTCTTGTTTTGCTTTCAGGTCCTCTGTGGTTTCAGTTCTGAGCACTGATGGCCGGTGACTTCAGAAAAACAAGGGATCCCATTTTTTCAGGCTTTCCCCACAACGGCCTCACCTGCCAGTCCCCGTAAATGTCTCCTGAGTCCTGAGGTTTGAAAGGGAAGTCCTTTCTGGAAAAGATTCCTTTAAGACACAAGGAGTTTCCTACCACTATGGTGAGTGTGGGAACCTACAGTACTTCCAGCTCATCTCTGCACCCCCTCTACAGCCGGGCAGGAGGGGGATTTCCCACTTGCTACCTCACCCTCTGGTTGCCTTGGGCCTGGGGTATTGGAGATAATCATGCAGCTGTTTCAAATTAACTTAACGTTTTGAGCCTTCTTCTTCAACAAACCCATCCCCTGCAAGCCGCTACAAAAGCGTTTTATGAACACGGACTTAAAAATGCATCCTCAGGCTTACTGGTGTCCAGAAATTCCGCATTGCCTAATATTCAGTGTCAACAAGACAGGACCCAAGTAGGAAAATTTTATCTCTTACAGCGGTTCTCACCTCCTTTATGTGGGGAGCCTGGTTGTTGCAGGGTGCAGAAGAGTTTGCCAGCGAAGCCCAGATCTATTCCCCAAGTGAACTGCAGAGGATCAGAGACCTCACAGTAGCTAGTTTTCCTTCGGGGCAGACTCTTCTGCTTTTGTGCTCCTGGACCTGGGGAGCAGGAATGAGGATGCTAATAATTTACAAGCAGAGATAAGACAGCATTTAGAGGAGGAGGTCAATCAGATAAAAATGCCACACACATACTAGGGATTTAGCCGAATCTTTTGTCTGTTCTAAAAGGGAAGTACTGAAGGATGAAGGTGAAGATGAGCAGCAGCGGCAGGCTTCTGGCAATCTGCCTGTTTTTCACACACTTGTGGTTGAGTTCAATCCATCTTTAAACAAGGTAGAGTGACTCATTTCATCTTTTCTGCTTCCTTTTTCTCTTCTGCCTCCATCAAAGGCTTGAAAGATGTGTTCACGCTGCTCTCAGTTTACCTTCCAACAGGAACATTCTTTGAAAAGCTGACTCTGCCAGACTTAGTTGAATGGGCACATGTATTGTGGGGTGAGGAGGGAGGGAGCCCCAGAGGCTCCCATTGGTCTTGGTGACTCTGGACTCACCCTCATCTGCTGCAGTGAGGATGAGACTTTACCATGACGCAGGTTACAAAGCGCTTCCTTTCCCCACCCACAATTCCAAAGCATATTAGGGATCTTGTCTTTCGACAACACCTCCATGAATCTTGAAAATCAAGAAACTGTCTACTCAGGGAACAGTAAAATTGCATGGCAGAGGTGAAGAAAGTCTTCCCAGGGGAAGCTAGTAGGAGAATCTAGTTTTGGGGTGGACCCTGTTGTTCTCACAAAACAATCTTACAGGGTGGCTCGGCACAGCGGTCTCCTTCGGCCTCCTGCCTAGAGAGAGAAGGCTGATACCTTTGATACTAAAAACGAGCCTTACAGTCTGCTCTGTTCTTCTGTCATAATCTCAGTTTGTGATAGGACTGAAGTCAGACCGTGACAGTCGGACCGGAACCAACGGGGAACGAAGTTTCCACCTACTGTACTTAACGACCAGCCCCTTCCTACTTGTTTTCTGAAAAAAAGAAAAAAAGGACAAAATTGAAGCTTGGATTCTTTAAATTTTTGTTTGTATATTGTTCTGTCCTGTTTTATCAGAGACTTTCTACAGCTAATAAGCCTTAGCCTTTGTCTGTAGATTTTGCTCTCTTTGAATGGGTATATTTACACATTTTAATCATTTTGATTTTCATAAATTAAAATTAAGCCTTTTTGGTTTTGGCAACCCAGAGCTTTCTGAGGCAGAGTTGAAAAGGCTTTCAATCATGCAAGAGACTGACAATTAGCTCATTAAAAAAAAAAAATCTTTTCTCCCTTCCTATTTCCTCAAAAGTTACTTCTCAGAAAACAATCCATTTACTGTATGTGCCCTATTACCAGCAAGGTTAAAGGTTCAGGAAAAGAAAGACTTCAAAATATTTACATTAAAGCAGATGGTTCTGGAGAGAAGAAGCTGTCTTAGCCCCTGACACAGGCAGGGGAAGCGTGGTGGCCACGAGTCGGCCTGTTCTCTTTTTCTCCTGAGAATGTGGTCCTCTCTTCTTTCTTGCGATGTTCATACATCATAGCTAAGGTCCTTAGGACTCCAGGAGAAGATTTGACTGCTGACACATGTCTACTATTTTCTAATGTATTCATTCTTTGGAAATAAACAAGTTGGTGAGTTAAAGTACATAATGTGTCTGATGGTCAGCATGGAGAGCTTCTGCATTCATGACAGGTATTTTGCTCAGAGTTTAACACATTGGCACAGAGATCTTCCTATGCTAATGTGGTTGCTAGGCAATATCTTCTCTAGTTTGTGGATTTGCAAAGCAAGGATCTGACACTACTACTACACACAGCTACTGCACACACCCGTCACACATGCACATGCTACTGCACA